CCCCTGCCTGACCCCCAGCCCCTCCCCTCGGCCCCACAGACTCACTGATTTGAAACGTCTTTTATTTTCTTGTCTTCAATTCTGTGGGCCGTTCTCCCCATAGAATTCACTTCGTTTCCATCCCCCTTTAAAAATAAAATAATGTCAGACACAAAAGGAAAAACACTGAATGACTCCACTTATAGACGCGGTAGCGGGAGTAATCAGGTTCGTGGAGGCGAAGCAGAGTGGTGGTGGCGGGGGAAGCTGTGTGGGGTGGGAGGTGTTGTTGGACGGACGGCCGGGGGGAAGCTGTGTGGGGTGGGAGGTGTTTGACCGAAATGAGTCGGGCTCCTGTGCCCCCTCTTCCAGAGAGAGGCCTCTACTTGCATCTCCGAGTTTTAGCGAGAATCCCCCACCCTCCGCATCCAACAGAGCTGACCAAATCCCCCGGGTGATACCTGGTCGCCCTGGCCTGCCTTCAGCGAGAATCCCGTCAGGTCACTTCTGCAAAAAATTACTTCATGTTCTTAGTATTTCCCATCCAGAACCACTGCCCCGGCTCTTGGCTATAAATCCCCATTTATTCACGTTATATTCAGAATCGACTCCGGTTCTATACCGAGGTCTCTTTTCCAATGTTGCGAAGTCCTGACAAAAATCCGTTTTCACCTCTTTAACTGCTGTACAGCTCTGGTTTTCTTTTTCTTTTTTCCTTTTTTTGTTTGTTTGTTTTGTTTTGTTAGCTCTGATTTTCTTTGACATGCTATCTTGGGATGATGAAAAAGTTCTGGAGATTGGTGGTGATGGTGGCAAAACAATGTGAGTGTACTTAATGCCACTTAAAAATGGTTAAGATGGTAAATTTTATGTTATGTAAGTGTTCCCTCAAAAAATCAAGCTAGATAGTTTTAAAAAACAGGATTTAAAATGTTTAAATATATAAAGGAAACGATAGTGCAGAGATCCTGCAATAGTTCCTCCTTAGTTCATTGGCTTGTCTTAGAGTTCTAGGCCTTTCTTTTAGGGTTGCCAAAGAAAAATACAGGACACCAAGTTAATTTAAATTTCAGATAAAATTTACATTCTTATAATAATATATATTATAATTTTACAAACACCAATTTATACATATACATATGTCCAAAACTAAGCACAGGACATACTTAAACTAAAAAATTATTTATTCCTTATTTGAAATTGAAAATCACATAGGCATTTGATATTTTTATTTGTTAAATCTGGCAACCCTACTTTCTTTCTAATACTCCCTGAATTTTATCCTCCTTCCCTGTCCCTCCTTCTGGGGGAGTTAGGTTGAATAGTCTTTTTTTTTTTTAATGTATTAATTTTAGAGAAAGAGAAGAAGAAAGGGAGGGAGGGAGAGAGAGAAACATTGATTTGTTGTTCCACCCATTTATGCATTCATTGGATGCCTCCTGTATGTACCTTGACTGGGGATGGAACCTGCAGCCTTGGTGCATCGGGATGATGCTCTAACCAACTGAGCTACCCATCATTATTATTTATTTTTTAAAATATGTTTTTATTGATTTTTAGAGAGAGAGGATGGAAGGGAGAGAGAGAGAAACATCAATGAGAAAGAGAAACATCAATTGGTTGCCTTCCGGGGATCAAATCTGAAACCTAGGTATGTGCCCTGACTGGGAATCGAACCCTCAACTTTTTTGGTATATGGAACGATGCTCCAACCAACTGAGCCACCCAGCTGGGACCTTTGCTTCACATTTTAATTTAGGGACCCAGGTTCCTTCCATTAATGGCTCTACTATCTAAAACATAGGGTTTCCGCCCTGGTTATTTTTTTGTTTGTTGTTTGTTTGTTTGTTTTGTTTCAGTGGTTAGAGCATCTGCCACGCACCCAAGAGTCACAGGTTGGATTCCTGGTTCCATCCCCAGCCCCAGCCCCAGCCCCTATCGGGGTGGGTGCGGGGAAGCAACCGATTGATGCATCTCTCTCACATCGATGCTTCTTTCTCTCTCTCCCTCCCTTCCACCCTTCCGCTCTCTCTGAAAATCAATGGGGGGAAATATCATCGGGTGAGGATTAACAAAAACAACAACAAAAATAAATAAATAAAGCCCTAGCCGGTTTCCCTTGGTCATTAGAGTGTCAGCCCAAGGACTGAAAGGTCCTGGGTTCGTGCAGGCTCGATCCCTAGCCCTAGTTGGGGCACATGTGGGAGGCAACCAATCAATATGTCTCTCTCACATTGATGGTTCTCTTTGTCTCTCCCTCTCCCTTTCACTCTAAAAATCAATGAGAAAAATATCCCCGGGTGGGGATTGATAATAAACAAACAAACAAGCAAGCAAAACACTGGGCTTCCAAGGTTGGAAGGGGAAAGAGCATGAAGAGGATGTGGGAGGTTCGCTGGAACAGGCCTGGAAGCAGCATATAGCAGTCCACTCCATTGGCTAGGTGAGGCTGGGAAAGATAGCCTATCTACATGCCCAGGAGGAAGAGCTAGCCAGTTTCTGCAACAAGGTCAGGAGGTGAGAAAATGTACAGTTCAGTGTGTAGTGGGGAATGAAGGAGACCATAAGCAGGTTGGTGTTGCTGAAGTTCAAGGCAGAGAGGGGTGAGATGATATTAGAGAAGTAAATAGGAACCAGACCACAATACTAGGTACCATTTTTGGAGCCCACATATATAATCTCAGTTATGACAGAGTGCCTGAACCGTGGAGAAGAGGCAGGAGATCTGTGTGTATTTGTTTTACATAACAATCCTATTTCCTAACAAGTGTATAGAGTTTCATTGTGGAAAATACATGTACATATACAATAGTTAATGCTTATTAAAATTGGTGAGGAAAAGATTCTGTCATTCATATGTACAGTTGGGAAAAAATGAGGCTTTGGGAGATTTAAGACCTTATCCACGGTCAGATAGGTTCATCTCTTTCTAAGCACTCTTATCCACTATATTATATTACCTCTCTAAGAGAGTCTCATATGTCATAGTAAGGAGTCTAGACTTGAGCCATCTCTTCCTGTTGCCAAACTTGGGCTCCCTCAGATTTATCTCTAAGCAGTGGCATGGAGGGGCAGGTAGGGAGGGGCCAGGAAGGACTTCATGAAACCATAACTGAATCCTTTGGTCAGCACCTGCCTCACCCAGGTGAAGAAGGTCTCCATTTTCAGAGGGAGGGGACAGGGAACTTTTGTGCCCTTCTCTGAGCCCAAAATGACCCACGTGAGGACCTTACAGCTCTCCTCCCCCCTCTCCTTTCCCCCCCTTAATTCTGGCCTCCTCTACAGCCAGGAGGACCATGCCTGGGAAAAGAAGAGGGAGCATATACGGGACCATGACTTATCCATTAGTCACAGTAGACACACTATTTTAGGGGCCCACAAAAATATTTTAATTAAAATCAGAAGAAGAAAATGAACTTTAGATTGAAGAAGATATTTTAATATAGAATCCTATATAATAAAGAGGTAATATGCAGATGGACTGTCATGCCCTTGCACAAGATGGCTGCCCCCATGTGGTCACAAGATGGCCGGCAGGGGAGGGCAGTTGTAGGCAACCAGCCTGGCAGGGGAGGGCAGTTGGGGGTGACCAGGCCTGCAGGGGAGGGCAGTTAGGGGTGACCAGGCCTGCAGGGGAGGGCAGTTAGGGG